TTTCTGATTAGACAAAGGATTGCACTAACTTCTTAAAAACAGGGACGTTTTTCACACACAATGTGGACAGTTTTCCACTAAACAGAAGGATAACGTTAAACTAAAAGGATCTAGGTCTTTACCAAAACACCTAACACCAAAAAAAAACTTCTAGGGTGTCAATAAGATAAGACTCACATTCTGCTTGGGTGAATACTTTTGTGCAAGAAAGGAGACAAAACTCATTTTCAGGTTAATAACTAGAGAATTAGAGTGCTAAATTATTTTCCCATCACATAATATAACGGTGTGGAACTTATTTACTGTCTTTGCTAACATTTGTTAAAGCCATTAATCATGCAATGGACTGGAAAAAATCCTGAAGAAGAATGTCTGTGACCCTAAATTCCGGCCCCCCGTGGGACACACCACTGGCAAGTCCAACTTTGGATGCCCCAAACATACAGCATGGCCTACTTTAAGTCTAGACTGAGATTCTTCTTATGTGCTGTTGCATAACCTAACAGACTGTTTATTCTTAAAGCTCCCTGAAGAGGCTGAACTGAGAATAAATGCAAGTTATTTTAAGCACTTGATGGCAGTTATTGCTGCTCATAATGACAAAACTAGTGATAAGGTTTTTTTTTAAATTGAACCAAGTTGGGCCAGGCAGTTTGTATTATTATCTTAATAAATTACAGTAAATTAAATTATTTTCCAAACTGCATTTTGTAGTTTTTCGGGATGTCTATGTATAGCATTGTCATTTCTTTTAACATGCTGTGAAAAGAGAGTAATATTTTTTATGGAGCTGTGTGTTCAAATGTTGCATTACAGTTGAGAGGACTGATGTGAAAACATTCATAAAAATTGAAACCATTTCTTGAAGAAATTCTTAAAGAAACTGATCACTAATTGTTCCAAGTAGCTTAAATGGCCTGTTGATTTCCTCAGAGAATTACATACTGTTCAACTACAGAATTGTGAACACCAAATAACCAACAATAACCAGTGAGGATATAAAGGGAAATGCAGTTTGTGGTTTCCTTGATTGTTTGATTTAAGGAGGTAGGCAATACTTCGGAATAATTTGGATCATTGCAGGGCAGAGAAGAGTAGAAGTAATTAAATATGCTTCATATTGAGTTCTGCATTAGCCATTTTCTATAGAGATTTATTTTTACTTTTCTTGTATACTTAGGTACAGTATATCCTGATATACCTAAATAGTTGTATTTGGGATGAGTATGTTCAGTTTAATTTTTGAATGTTGCAAGCTGGAAGTAATAGCAGAATAAAACCATAACATACTTTTAAAATTGTTTTAATTGAATGGTCTGATGTTCAGACATTGTTTTTATATTTCTCAAAGTGTTAAATATATAAACACTTGAACCATTAGAACTGTTGGTAAGGGTTTAAAAGTTTAATTAAATATTTAGTTTGTGAGGGATGGAATAGAATAGAAAATCCCTATATTGTCCAACGATGGGGAAATTGTATGTCTACATCGAACTGTATGTTTTTGGCCACAAAAAACATCAATGAAATCTTGGCCACTTTAGAAATAAGTACCATGTTTTGCTTTATTTTTATTTTTTTGTCTAAAATTTTTGGGATTACTGGTTTTAGTAAAAACAAAGAAAAAAAATGTAGTTTTATTTTTCAATGAATAAAATTAGTCATCATCTCAAGTCATTTGTAAAAAATCTCAAAGGACATTAGATCTTCAAGCATAGATATACTGTCTGGGCAAAATTCCCAAGTAAAGATTGTTTTCTGCCTTGACTGTAGGGGATTCATTAACTATGTCAGATTCTCTCTCACGCCTGAGGGATTGAGGGTTAATCTGTATTCTTCTACTGTCTCTCATCCTTGGCAAACCAAACACACACCAATCGCTGTAACCATTAGTTATCTTTTAACCAAGATGCTGAGGTTCATGGTTGGCTGTCTTTATGCTGTTCTTTGTGTGGAGATAATGCATATAATGTGCTCTTTTTCATGAGAGCAAATTTAATGTGATTAGAAAGCAGTGTCAAGGGGAAATCTATTATTTCTTTCCAGAGATTCAGATAAATCCTTTCGTATAAGTTGCTCATTTAGACATGATGTGCTCTGATTAGCACAATGCAGCAAGCAAATGTATCTTGTTGGATTAAAGCCCACTTCTACTCATACATCCTAATCCATGTTTCGCTTCTCGGTTTTTGCCCTTCTACATACTGCAGCATCAAAATGAAAAATATTCTACAGTACACATATGCATGCAATGGTGTGTGGAATTAAGCCTATGTCATAAGTTTTTTTCGTAGGCTGATGGTAAGCATAAAGTTGAAGTTTTAACAGATTGTGAAGAACAGAGCTTCAGACGAGCGAATCATTCCACCTCCAATTCCATGTGCAGATATATTTTCAGTCAGCAGATCACAATAAGCAACAAGAAACACATCAGGCAACAATAAAAAAAAATAGTATTATCTTATGTATAAAAAATATAATGCTTTTATGTTTTACAGAACAAAAATTAAACAGAATTAAAAAGATAGAGATCAGGGCTCAAAGAAAAAATGTTTGGTGTCAGTCCAGAGTAGACAGTAAATAGATTTACAATGGAATACCAAGGATGTAAAAAATTGGAACAAAATGAACAGCATACAAGACAGGAAAAAATATGTTTGGAGAAAATAAAACCTGACCGAAACTGCACCTTATAAATGAGTGATAATGTAGTCAGCATGTTTGTCTATCAGGAACAGAATGAGGGTAATGAAGGAAATACATGTAGTGTGTTGAAAACATAAAACATAATCAGTTATAATAAATTATGATGTTATGTATAATGTTAACGTTACTGTGATGCATTTAATTTCACAGAACAAGTTGGTCTTCTTGCAAAATTACTTTTTAACTATCCTGGTTTCACAAAGTCAGTTTGCTGCTACAGAGTCAGCCGTGTACTCATGGCTAATAAGGTTATGTCAAAGAAGCTCTCAAAGTCTGAAGAGATTCTGCTCTGGTTTTATTCAGAGATCATGAACATCAGAGACTTCTTGGGGTTCAAGGAGAGAACCTCTCCCACAGCTCCTTGAGGATAAAACAAGAGAACAAAAAGAAGTTCTGGGGATTTGTTAGTTGCAGTGTGTTGAATATCAGATGGAGTTTAAATTGATCAGAAATGACTAAAAGATAACTGTTTTGTTTTTTATTTTGCTCTTAACATCACATAATTTCATATGTGGGTCCACCTGTAAAAGAAAGGACTGATTATGAAAAGAAGCTTGTTTGATTTAAACTCCTAACATCTTTTACTGGCTGTTGCCACACTGCTAAGATCTGAGCAGATGCCACAGGCGTTCATCAAAAAATGGAACATGTATAATAGGACTCCTGTAAATTCAAACCTCCACATGGAAATAAAATGCATTCCTATTCAAACCTCAGTAACAATATATTCCTCTTTTTCCCCCTTATTGGGGTAGCTGGCAACAGCAGCCTATTGATAAGGTAAGTAGGCTATGTAACTGAAAATAAGCTAGTGTAATTTAAATACAGTGCACCCACCGGTTTGTTTACAACAACCACCTGCCTGGCACCGTGCCATGCTGAAACGTGAGTCACAGGCTATGATGCAAAACTTTGTTGATAGAAATGTTTACATTTTTTGTTTAAATTTATTTATTATACAAATTTTGACAGCATTGGAAAACATAAAAAAATTTTTGTATGTCCTCCTACACGTTATATTAAAAGAAACAAGCAAAAAAAGAAAATCCATCTATTTCCATTTTTATACATTTTAAAAAAGCTCCAGAGGTGCAAGGGGCGCTATAGAGACGCATGTGGCTCTGGAGCCGTGGGATTCTGACCCCCGTGTTACCCTAACCCTAACCCACCTAAAGACACTATGGTATACATGTTACCATACATTCGTAAACTAAAATATATATATCTAGTCATGGGTCATGTGAAACAATGTCCACAACCTTTCATTTACCCTAGGCATCAATATATAAAAGGGGGGTAACTTTGACCAAAAGTGTCAGTACTTGATGAGTTGGGAGTGAGAATGTTTTGGAACGATGCAGATATGTATGCAGGTCTTTAACAGACCTAAGTCTGTAGTAACTTTGCACATTTGGAAACTGAAAATGCAAATAGCTCACACTCATTAAGACTGAATGGATAACAAACCTCAAAGACGTTTTGCCACAGAATTAGATTAAGGCCTTGACTTTGACTTGGCCATCCAAACACATGCTTAGCTCTCTGCTGAAGAAAAATATCGCCCCAGCACTATGCCACTACCATGTCTAGTAGGAAGCTTATGTTATTTTCCACAACACAGCATTTATAAAATAAATGCATCAGCTTGTGGTTTTATGTCATGCCCATGCAGCAGTTTTGCACAGAGCAGGCACATTAAAAGTTCTTGACAGTAGAAAACTCATCAAAGAATCATTTGCATAATTTCAAAGAGAGCTTCAAGACAATCTGGGTATAGTTTTCTGAAAGTATAAATCAAAGAAGACGAGAGAACTTTTTCCCTCAAGAACTGGCTGCAGGGCTGTTTCTACTGACAATTATTTTTAATTATTCTCAATGTGCTTTTTATTCCTATCCTATTCTTCAGACATTTTCTAAACAAACAACTAAAATGTACCTCCACAAACTAATTTAAATGTTTAACGCCAGAAAGTTGAATAAAGTAATCCCAAAGCCATGTTAAAGACACAAATTGCTCTTCAGCTATATGCTTTAAAAAGCATGAAACATTCAAGCCTTAACAATAAAGACCAACAAAAAAATCTGTTAAAACAAATGCTCCAAAATGATGCAATGAAGAGATGAGCAAAAACTTTAGGAACTTTGATTAATCTCTTGTTCTGTATTATGTAAATTGATGTTCTATAAAGAAAAAAAATGCAACAATTTAAAAATGAAAGCCACTCATCTTTTTGGTAACCAATGTATTCTTTTCTCTTTTTTTGTGTGTGGTCTTTTCTTTATTCAATCTGTAGTAGAAAGTATCCAAAGCAATCCCAGCGTGTTTCTGGAAGGTGACAAATCTCCAGTAGCTCCAGCTTCACAGCATTCCTGCAAAGTTGAAACTGAGGGAGGAGGAAGAGAGGAGAATGAGGAAGGTGAAATATCAGTTTGCTCCATGAGCCAGCTGGGGAACACCATCGCTAACAGTGAGTTGGAGGGAAATAGAGGAGTAAAAAAGATCTCAGTGCCCTTGATATTTTATCTTATTGAGATCGTGTTGAGGTGTGTAGAATATAAATGAATCCCAGATAGCACCTGGTGTCTTTATTATGTTTTATCGCCTCAGTTTCCAGTAGCTGGTGGGGCTCCAAGAGGTTGGATTATGCTTTATACTGCCCCGATGTGCTCACCGCCTTCCCAACAGTGGCTCTGCCGCATCTTTTTCACGCCTCCTACTGGGAGTCCACTGATGTTGCTGCTTTTGTTCTCCGCCAGGTAGGAAAGCCTCGCTGATAGCATGACCGATTTTTTCCCTTTCATGTTTCCCATATATAGAGACTCTTGAAACAAGTAAAAAAAAATCATCATAAAAAAAATTGCCAACAAAGATTTTAATGTACAACAAATGTAGAAATTTAAAAAAAATCTAAAAGTTCTTTGTCTAAAGCAATAACTAGAAGGACATTAACTTCATTTTAAAAACAATTATCTCTTAATTAAAACTGGAATCCTTATTCAGTAATTAGAAAAAATAAATCAAGATTTTGGATAGATTTCTATTTTTTATTTTGTGATATTTATTGTCTCATGGCAATTTTTTCTTAGTGAGTCTGTTTATTTCTCCATCTGGCCCCCTCTTATTACCTAATTAAATTTCTTGAAACCACTTTAAAAAAAAAAGAACTATTTCTGTGTGTTGCATTAGTAAAGCATCACCACTCTGTTCTCATTGTACTAGTGGAAAAAAAAAGAGAAACTCTTTTTTTGTACCTCTAAAGACCTTAGAAAACTAAACCTGTTTGCATGTTTCATAGTTTTAAACCCTCTGATATTATTCACCACAAACAGCTGTAATCTTATATCTAAAGCTTTTCCTGCTATAGTGACACAGCATAACTGTGAACAAACATTGAAATCTGTAGAACCTGCAATCAGTCTGAGATGTGGTGCATTTGGATTTATTTTTTTTTCTTTTTCTTATTTAAAACCCAAAAGTAGTGCCATCCACAGATGATTTGCATTACACTGATGGTTTGCTTAACTTCATCAAGTCATGAAGAACATAAACCACCCTATAAAATCAAAACAGTGGAACTGTTTTACCTAAAAGATAGCTGCAAGAAACTTAGGGAAAAAAAGTAAAACATCTAAAATGACTTTGTCTCTTTGTCTTATCCGGATAAAACTGGTAGATTTTCTAGCTTTTTAATCTTTTTTAAGAAAAGCAGTGGGCTTAAAGAAATCTACAGTGATGATATGCAGGAAGTTTTAGGAAGATAGATTATTACCATTTGCTTCATTAAGACGTGTAGACCAAGCTTATTGTGTAGTGTTTTTTACTGATTGTCATGTTGGGGACCTGGGTTCAAGTCCTGGTTGAGTTGGGTTAAAGAGAGCGAGCATACGGTAAATACTTTTCCAAGCCTGAAATCTAGCTTGCTGTGGTAACCTCCAAGCAGCATAAGGAAATGCACAAACATGGAATCAAAACATCTCAAGGAAGTCTTAGATAAGCTGTAAACTCAGCTAGGTGTTTAATGATGAACTGGAAATAGGCTCAACATAGATTGCCTTTTGGTAAATCAAAACTTGGTTTTCAGATTACAAAAACGATCATATCCAAAAAGCTCTGATTGAGATGCTGCTTCCCTTATCTCTTTTTTGTTTGTACGTAAAGGGACACTATGCAAAATTTTTCAGTTAATTAATGTGTTCCATAACGTTTTGGATGATTAAATGAGTCATTTCAGGTTGAACAAAGGTATTCTCGGCCGCCCTGGTGGTCTGTGGGGGAAATACCGCACTTGCAATTGCAGGAGCACCGACCCGCACCCACAGGCTCAGAAGTCTCACGAGAGTCGGTCTTGCTTTACGGCGAGAACTGCTACACGCCCCCAGTTAAAAGCATGCTCGTTGCTAGCACAGTGGCGATCTTTGTGCAGTGCTGCTTTCACACCGGACACAGCAAAATCGCATCTGCTGCTTCATTTTTACTGCTTGTACCAGTTAGTTCTGACGCGCGGCTGAAGCAGCTTTGCTGCTCTGGCTGTGCAAAAGTGTCTCTGACGCGCGTTGGGCGGAGCTTCACTATCCTTTCTCTGCCTTGCAGCTATATTTGCTGTGATCAGTGGGAATAAAGTAGTTTTAATATGTGTTTAAGTGAGAAAATACACCTGAAAACGTAATCAGTGCAGTCAGTTCATTCAGATTATTCTCCTGCCTTACAATATTTTTTCTGTCGGAGCCGCTCAGACCCCCACATACCAGCGGTGCGCCGACAGTAGGAATCCCTTCAACAGCAGCCTCTGGCTGGGTCGCCTCCTTGCGGTTCACCGCGGCAGCTGGTAGGTGTTTTTCATCTAAATAATCCAAACTGCAGGCAGCAGGATAATAAAAGCCAACATATTCTGCCGGCAGATTTCTGCATTTTAAGTTAATTTAGGCGTCAATAAACTGATCTGATCATCAGCGCTCTGTCTCTCTCCCTGCCAGCTCCCAGATCAGCTTCTCTGATTGGTTGACGCGGCGCGTCGAGCAGCAAAAATTCAATTTTTCCATCTCGAGCAGCAGCGCGTTTGCGGCGCGTCAGATGCTTAGTCATTCGTTGCGTTCGCCTGTCTGCTAAGCTCAAAACAACCGCGCCTGACGGAGAAACCAGGAGAACAGCTGTGCATATTTACGACAGTGCACTTTTACTTTCGCCCTCTGGGGGGAGCCTCGCTGGAAAATCAACACCGGTTGCATAGTGTACCTTTAAGAGGAATTGAGAAATACATGCATCCCTCGGTTTAGTTTTAGGTTGCATGGGATGGATTTATGTGTGGAAACAAAAAATAAATGGAAAAAAAGATTGATCTAGCTGTAATGGGTGAATTTCAGTACTACAGACAGAGTGCAAAGGTCTGGGGAACAGAAAAATTACCACTCAGAAAAAATCCCAGAAAGCCTTATTTCCCCCTCTTTAACAATTAGATTATTGTATTAGATAAGGATAATATTTCCTTTCACTGTATGCTTTGACATTAAATCACTTTTAGAAAAATATGGCAGAACCAAGAGCTGCAGACATATGGGATAAATAGCTCTCTTGGAAAGGTTATCATTCAGCGCTCACTGTCGCCTCATGTTTTGACATATCGAAAGATGCAGCAGGAAGTCTTTCCTACCTTCTTTATTTTTTCAAGTTAGATGAATTTCTAAAAATGTGTTGAAACAGCAAGAATTGCAAGTTTCAAGTGATTCAAAAATGATATTCAGAAGCTATTTCGTATAATGACTTTCTTCAAGAGCTTCAAGTCTCCTCTTAGCACTTAATCTGTTTTACTGTTGCGCTCTCTATTAGAGTAGAGATTTTAAGACTACTACAAATGCAGTTTCAAGGATACAGATCACAAACCTGCTCACAAAAATATTGCCACAGGGTTTTAACCGACGCATTAAACCATGCTTTCTGCAGGTTTGAAGTATAAAAAATGCTTCTGTGTAGATATGTGTGATTTTATAGTTATGTACATTCACTTGTTACAATAGATTTTTAAATTTTAAGTCAACACAAAAGTATTTTTTTCCCCTAAAGGTAAATAAAAAATTATAGTAAGTTTTTTAGCCAGTTGTTGTATATGTTAATAACATAAATTGCCAAATATTTCTTTATATTGTTAGTACTGAACGCATCTTCCTCACTGAGTGGCCTTTCGGAAAGTGTCTTACAAGACTTACTTCACTAATGATGAAATTGCCATTCTCTCACCTATTTCAGTCAGCATCTTGACAATTAAATTCAAATTCCTTTGAAAAATACTGTATAAATCCAAAAGATAAATTAAACACAAGGTTTTATACAAATATAGGGATTTACATTTATAAAACAACTATCCCAAATGATGAACGATACTGGGGAAATTCCAGCACCATCCTGGCTTAAACACGTAGTAACTGAAATGCAGACAAATTTCTCAATGTTAACGGTATAGAGGAGGATTTTCTCTAATTTTTGAAAAGACCCACCCAATCCAATAAAAAAAAGCTACAGCAAACCCTGTACATGCTCCTGAGAGGGAATGCCTATTAATCGTGTGCGATCAGTTTACAAGCTGCCGTTTGCATCGCTCCAAATAGCAGGCCAGACTTTACCTGTTGAGTAGAAACTTTTCAACCGAGGCTTTTAGTGGGAAGCACAAGCTGTACATTCAGTGTACGTGAAAGAATCTCCCCAAAACACTCTGGTCTTGTTTCTCTCTTCTGACGTCTTTCTCTGCTTCTCATACACTTCATGGACACTTTTCTTTCTTGAGACTCTCTGTCATTTTCAAAGAACTGTGGTGAGAAAGGTGAGCTGCAATGACTGGTTATAATTGTAGCTCACAAAACATATATCAGAAAAAGATAGCTAACTAGGAACAAGCACGTAGGAAGGCCTCACATAAACGTATGACCACTTATGTTGATGATCCACCGAGTAAAAGAACATCCTCCGCTATACTTTTAAGAAATTATTAAACAAATATGTTGAATATTCTTAGCTTATTCTTCACCACTCTGATTTTGTAAAGATTAATTTTTTGGAAAATTCTAACTGAACTTTAAATTCAATTTGCTTTAAGGTCTGAAAATGATCTGAAATAAATGACGTTTCAATTTATAGAGTGCATGTAAATCTTTTTTTTTTTTTTTTGTGGCTTTATTGACAGCTAATGCGATGCGACTGTGTGAGGACCCAAAAAGCAGACCACTTGGACTCGGCTCCATTTTCTCCTTCGAGCCCTCGTGAGAAATGGCTCAGGCGGAGAACACATGTCAAGTTAAGGGTAGGTTTACTCAAAGGAATGATCAGATTTGTTATTACATTCTCTCTCTCCCTTACTTAAAAATGAAAATGCTGTGAATAAATGTTTTGTTTTTATTATCAGAAATTCAGGTTTTAGGGAAAATGAAAAGCATTCTGAAGTGAGGATTTATTGTTCATGCAATATATTTTTATCTCCCTCTTGGCTTTGTCCTCAATGTTGCCTTTTCATTCACTCAGTCTAAAAATAAAGTTATTATTGGATGATTCAATTGTACCAGTCTAACTCTGAGCCTTGAAATTCTTAACAATCTCCCACAGCCTCACCTTGAAGCTCTAAAATCTCACAGCACACAATTACATGATTCACGCAAGCCTTGCTAAGCAGAACAACCAAGGTCGGAATGTTGTTCTCATTTCTGAATGCAAGAAAATTTATTAAAGGTTTTCTTTTCAGAAGGATATAAATAAACTTGTTTTGGCCAAATACCATGGTAACATTGCTATATTTGAGTTTAAAAGATTCTTTTTTTGGTCTTCACATTGTTTAGCTTCACAAAATGAGGCTTTTCATGAACTGTTGAATCAGATTTATACTGTGATTTAGAGCAGCTCCAACTGGAGAAACTAGATATGTGCAGTGCTAGCGTATCAGCCATAGTTAGGCTGTTCAGAGTCACCAAGAAATAAGCATCTGAGGTATTTTACTTGGGTAGGGGCTTTTTGGTTACATTACTACAGAGAGAGCTCTTGCTGATAAACAATTACCTGCTGACAGACGTAATGTTGCATGTAATGTTGAACTTCTTGAGGTGACACTTCTGTAAGATACCATCCTGAAATGTGACAATACCATTTTATCAAATGAATGCTTTGCTGCTATTCTTAACTGCTTCTCTGCTATAGCACCTCAAGTGATATAATTTTAATCTTTGTCAGCAAACTGTGATTAAAAACAGATTTCAGGTAATGTTTAAAGGAAGCTGCTACTTTAAGTATAAGGAGCAAAGATAAGGAACATTCTTCCCGTTGATCATATATGTAGCTACTGTAACCCTACTTTGTACCTTCCCTGTGAAAGCTGCTTAGATAAATTCTCATGTCTAATCTTGAATGGTGTTATTTTTGACAATAGAAACTTGACATCAGGATAGTTTTGCATTTTGTGTAATTTATTTTCTTTTTAAATTCTCATGCTGATGTGAAACTGATTTCCATTTTGCATTGCACAGGTTTTGAAAATGACATCCCTTAATGTGAGAAAACCAGGGAAATTTTGTAGAACATAAAACCTTTTGCATATTTCAAGCATGTGTGTAACTTTTTTATGTGCACTGGTTTAAATAGTTAGAGCTGAAATCAGTGGGTTGGAGTTCACGGTGTTGGCCAACTATTTGTGGAGAAAGCTGTACGTTGTAATAGATCACAGATGAGTAAAGCACTTTCCCAATTACATTATGATGGAGTAAAGGTTATGCAGAAGTCAATACGGTTGGTCGTAAATGCAAAAAGTATGTCATGAAGGGCCACAACTGAGTCAGTAATTTATAGATTAGTGTGCTCCTAAAGTGTTGGTAAATTGCAGCCAACTCTGCAAGAGAAGATTTAAGGATTAGTATTTGTGATGGCTGGCTCCTTTAAAACCAATTCAAATAAGATAACAAAAAGATTAAAAATTAGTTAACCTGCTGCTCTGTAATTCCCCACTGTTGATATTCTTTAAGTTAGCATGCTTCAGAGAAAAGTAAACACCCTATAGAGAAGAAATATTTCTAATGTGCCTTGTGTGTGTTAAAACTTTTCAAAGACTTCATTTGCTTCGCATACTATAGCAGCTATCCGAACAGTTAATTTAAACAACTAGTTTAGGAGAAACTATTATTGTATAATGGTACTTACAGTTTCAATAATTCCTCTTTAGTTTAGTTTACCTTTGCATTTGAACATAGATGGGTTTATGTTGTTATGCCCGTACAGAATCTGGAAAACCAAAATTCAGCTGACACAAGAAGAAAGCATCTGACAGGTTTATTAAAAACTTCCAGTGACTATAGACAGGGCTTAGGCTAACGGGGGAGTTGTTGTCAGTACAGAGAAGCAATTGATAAGGCAGGGGTTTTCAAAAGTGATAAGTGAGAGGGAAATCCAGAATCAAGGTGAAATAATTTTAACAAGAGGTTTCCAGTGGGACAGAGGCAGCAGGCAAGTCTAAGGTCTTGGCTTGGGTCATATTAGATTGATGGAACAATCTAGACAAGGGCAGAAGAAAAAAAGAATTGGTTGTGAAGCAAGGCAAGGCAAGTATTTGACAGAGGCAAGGCAGGCAAGAAAAATCAGGAACGATAAAAGGTTGAGATCTTGTGGTCAATAAAAGTAATACCTTCTCACACAAACGGCTGGGAGAGCAAACAATATATAGTGCTCCGCTAAAGTACCACAACTTCCGGTATTTAGAACCGCTGCAGGTGCAACTGCTCAGACCCTCTTGCCAGTACAGTACAGAGAACAGGGGTTGATGCCAAGACTCCACAGATTGACTTCACAGACAGGTAGAGACAAGACTCATTACAAAACTGTTTTTAAGCACTGATTTTGTAACAATTTGTCTGCAGGTTCAGGTTTCTATCTACCTACAGTATCTACCTATCTATCTCTGTCTGTCTGTCTGTCTGTCTGTCGACACGGATATACTGTAGATAGAAAAGCAAGAAAAACAAAAAAAGGCAGAATGAGTGGGTGAACCAAGTCTGCTTGTTATACAGAGTCCAGTTAAAGTTAACGTTGCCATTCCAGACAGCTGCTGCCTACGTTTGCTTGCTCACATGAAGTGTTTATCTTAGCTGGCTGCCAACCAGGCTGCTTGTAGCTGTAATTATAAAGACAATAACGGGCCAGCTAACATTAGTTGTCAACATTAGCCAGTTTCAGAAACAAACAGTGGCACGGCCACAGCAGCAGCAGCAGCTGTCACACCCCTCCCTCCCACTGGAAAACTTATTTGGGTTTATTAAGCTGACCTTGTAAGGTAAAAACAAAATGCCCTGTGTTTGACAGGTAGAGATGGGAAAATACACAGCTTGTGAATTTATATGTTCCCCTGGATCAGACAGTTGCTCCAAATGTTACTGTGTCTTTTACTTTGGGTTTGCTCTAAAACTCACCGCCTGCTCTCTGTGCTTTGGCTCTCAAGCACTGACAAGAGTGTTCTTCCAAAGATCTGTTGATTATATTTTTTCAACCAAGTCATAATTACTGTAGGACAGCTCCACTAGGTTTTGTTTAAAGACTGGTCTGACTCTGAACTAACATGACTACTATGCACATCCACCACTGCACCTGCAGTGTCAGTCCGGAGCTGATCGAATGAAAAGGAAGATCCTGCTAAAGAATCCCTACTGCTTAAACAATGTTCTGACCATAACACTTTGAACTGAAATCTATCTGAACATGTCACACAAGCAAAAGTCTACAAATAGGAACAATTTGACTGCAGGAGTGCCAGAATTTCAATAATTATTTCAGTTTTTAAGAAAAGTTCAATGAGACTTGAGATGCATTGCATAAAACTAATGAAACTAAATTTATCCAAATTAGTGATAACTTTTTGTTTACGTAATTGGTCATTTTTATCGCATATTTTTACCCTATGGCGAGCTGCTGAAGACATTGACACTTACTGTTTCTACATGATTTCCTTGTAGATTTTCCTGGAACCTGATATCATAATTATTTTTTGCATTTTGTTTTGTCCATTGTTTTGTTTTTTTGTTTTCTTCTTAAATGACCTGCAGAATGTCACAGCTAACCACAGGGTGAATGATATCATAGCAACAGAGGACGGACCTCAGACTCTAGTTGGTCGCTTCATGTATGGACCCTTGGACATGGTTACCTTAACTGGAGAAAAGGTAAATGAATAAGGCAACACTGTTAATAGATTCTGACTCTAATTTATTCATATTCTAACCATATAATTATCTAACTAATCTCAGGTTGACATTCTGGTAATGACTCAGCCTCAGTCTGGCCGCTGGGTGTACTTTGACATGGAGGTGACTAACAGCAGTGGGAGGGTTACATACACCATCCCCAAAAGCAAGAAGCTCGGCCTGGGAGTATATCCAGTCAAAATGGTGGTTAAGTAAGCACCTACATAAAAATCCTAAACTAAACGTGATAAAATTATAACTCTAAATTCATCAACCAAGTATTAGCATTTTACTACATTGTGCAAGGCCACATATGACATTACCTATTTTTTTAAACCTAAGGGGTGACCAAACCAGTGCAGAGGCCTACCTTACTGTGTTACCACGGGGCATGGAGTGCGTGGTCTTCAGCATCGATGGATCTTTTGCTGCAAGTGTGTCCATCATGGGGAGCGACCCCAAGGTCCGGCCTGGAGCTGTAGATGTTGTCAGGTAACTGTGTACTTATGTACATTGCTAAAGCAAGCCATGTCTTTGCTCTTCGAGGACCTTTTCACCTTACCTATCAACTCTTTGTCAGGTTACAAGTAACAAGATTGGATTCTGCCAGTGAGTCCAAAGTCAAAATCCAGAGTCAGTTTCCAAATCTTACTTTAATTTCAAGTATAAACTAATGAAATAAATAATAAAATAATAATAAATAACTAATAAAAACTTCCACAAAATGTCAAAAAAAGAACCTGGTGTTGCAATTCACTGAAAAATATTAATCCAATATGAGAACACAGGCAAATTAAGCTGTCATCCTATCTGAACAGCGCATCTAAACAAAAGTTAATTTTCTTAAGACCCATCATTACTTTAGTGATGGGTCAGAGATCTAGTTCTTTTTAGTTCTTATTTTAGGGAGCAATATTAGTACATTAGTACATCAAGGTTTAATGCTTTTGAAATTATTTCTCTTCACTTTTAAGATCTTTAAATATTTATCATTTCACCTGCCCAAAAGTAATCATATTTGTGTAACTGCATATGTTTATTAAAGTTTGATGTTTTTGCTTTCTACTGTGTCATTTTCAACCAATATCTCTTAAAAACTGAAGTTGTTTTAATTTTGGCAACTTCAGAATTCGTTTTGGCAGAGATGACCCCTTAATACTTTTTTATTCAACCTAAACTTGTTGTAATCAGCACTTATAAATATATGTATATAATGTATAAACATACATTAATTAAGAAATATTTACTGTACTTGTACTATTTAACAAAAATGCTTTCTGTCAGACGTGGTGTATAAATTATTTTCATGTTAAGCTCAGCTCCACTTTTATGTACTGCATCAGATGATGGAGTAATAGAATATAACAAGCTCCTAATTTAAGTGATTTTTAGCTCACACTTGTTGTTACATAAATAGCTGGTTATATTGTTGGATTTTGTAAACAAAGTGTTGTTAAAAGTCAAAGTCACTTTTGTCACTTCATCAAGTTGAGTTTGAAAAGCTTGAATTGGAGAGTAGAATCTGTATGAAATCCACTTTTTTGTAAAAGATATTCTTTTTATCTCTTCCATCCATTTTGCTTGTCCTCCTGTAGTGCTGATTTTGCAGAACAGTAAAGTCATGGGAAATTTAAAGGAATTTGAGCCGTACATGACCCCGCATTCAAGTGAGACCACCCTCAGATATGTCTGTCAGGCACAGTTCTGCACCAATGCATTTAGAAATAACAACAGAGAGTTGCTCCAGTATTTCTCTTTCTGCACTGCACTGTAGCTGAGACAGTGTGTCTGATTTTGCCTGACACAGCTAGCACTGTGATTGTTTTTGTGTTGTTTTGATTATTGACACACTGATTTGTAATGGTAACGGATAGACTTCATGCACTTTTTGTACTCTAGCTACAACTTAAGCCAAAAGTTTCTTTAAGAATAAAAAGAGAGACAATGTAATGCTAAACATATGGTGCATTTTTCACATTTTATTGAAAACCACACATTTTTATGTGTTCTTTAGATGTTTCATCTGTCAGACCTCTGACAGGCCTATGCCATTTTAGGCGGACCTCTACCTGCAAATACTGTACCTGGGGTCCCTTTTCATGAGGCTTGCAGTAGCATGCAACAGCTTCTTGAACCACATTAATGTAGGACTGAACGATATAAAGAGAATTGGATCACTGTATTTCTTCATTTCTGCCAAAACAATGAAATATCGAATCTGATATTGATATATACAAAATAAAAGCCCCAGAAAGCCTGCCCACAATAGATGCCTTTACAAAATTGTGAAAATTATTTTACCAAGTTTATAAAACTCCCTCTAATACAACATTGCTCAAACATCTGTCAACTCTGCAGCCACATCTGAGATGTGATCCAAGACAAATCCCACCTCAATTAACACCTACATTTATAGGGTATTCCAAGCGCTAGTTGCTATGTTAATAACGTGATTATGCACTTTTAAGTACAAAGTAATAGTTTTAAGTAACTGATAAATTTTTTTAATTAGATAATCACTGAGACAAAAAAGTAATTTTATTTTAAAATATCACCCTTTTTCCTCCAAGATGATGGATTCTGGAAAAAGAAACACTTTTCCAAATATATTTTTACTACATTAATCTTATGAACTTGTCCTTATAGCGGGTAATGTATATTTTTTTAATATTGTTAAAGCTGCAGTCTGTAACATTGAGAAGAGAGCAGACTTCAACTGAAAATTTGAAGAAAAACAGGTTTCACGCCACTCCCCCACCCTCTCTGCTTCACTCATGCCCCACCTCCAAGCTCCACCCCTCTCCCAGCACCTGCGCGGCTACCGCATGGCGGTACCAATTGAAGCAGTTTTTTTCACAGGTTACATATCACATGTACTGATGTCTGGGTATAGGGACAGTTTTAGCCAATATGACAAAAAAGTGATTTTTAAAAACTTACAGACTTCAGCTTTAAGTCTGCTCATATTTACTTTGCCACCAAATGACCCTGCAGGATCAGCTGATAGCAAATACCATTAAAACAATAAAGTGTGTATATCAGGGGCGCTCAAGTCCAGTCCTCAAGAGCTACCATCCTGTAACTTTTAGAAGCATCTCTTTTCTAGCACACCTGAATCTAAAGCCTCAATCCCCTCATTTAGCCCAGCAGAGGCATGGTAACGAGCCATTCATTTGATTTAGGTGTGTTAAAAATAGTTGCATCAAATAGTTGCAGGATAGTAGCTCTTGAGGACTGGACTTGAGCATCCCTGGTGTATATAAACAAGAAATCACACTATAACATTTGCTATATTTCGATGGTACATGATTTTTATTAGGTGAAGTTACTTGCTATGGGTAGAGGTGCCATAAACTCACTCAAAAGTAGTGATACTTAATTAGGGATATTTCTTAAGAGAAAGTAAACGGTACAGTCCAGTATACCTACCCTAAAGGTCTTAGGACTTTTTACATTTTAGTAAGTGAAACCTGCATAAACCAATTGTCTCTGAAGACAAATGGTTTAAATTGATTGAAGAGAAAGATATTTAAGGGGATTAGAGTAAATATGACCCGGTCCAAAAGCAACACAGATTTTTTTTGAAACTCCTAAATTTTAAATATTGCGGGAATACAATGGGTGTGAATACTTAAATTAACTATCCATTTTAGGTTAAAACAAATGTTTCATTTTCTTTGAAAACTGGAAAAATAATGTCTTGAAATGTGTCATGTAAAATTTTCTGACAGACTATTAAAAATGATTATCTGAATTAGTTTTGTTATGTGTTCACCTGTAGGCACTGGCAGGACCTCGGGTATCTTATTATCTACATCACTGGACGGCCTGACATGCAGAAGCAGAGAGTAGTATCTTGGCTTTCGCAACACAATTTTCCACATGGGATGATCTTCTTTTCTGAAGGGCTGGTGCATGATCCCTTGCGCCAGAAGACAATCTTTCTCAAAAACCTCATACAGGAGGTAAGCCTCGTAAACAATTACTCCTACTGCAGTTTCTTGAGCTCTATTTATTAGCTGTCACTCTCTTCAGTGTTGCAGCTTTGAGCTGGGCTGCACTGAAATGCCAAATATATCCCTGTTTGAGGACTTTTCTTTTCTCTCCCTCTGACCAGTGTCACATTAAGATAAACTCTGCTTATGGCTCCATGAAGGATATCTCTGTTTACAACATGTTGGGCCTGAGCCCCTCTCAGATATACATCGTTGGCAGACCTTCAAAGAAGTACCAAAATCAATGCCAGGTACCTAAGGGTTTATTTGTCTTTCCTTATGTTCTTTCTAGTGTTTTTTTTTTGTTTTTTTGTTACCATTGACAGTTTTTGTAAAATTGTCTTCTTGTTTTTGCACATTTACTTCTCTCTGAGCTACTGACCCTTTTTCTCTTTAGTTCCTCAGCGAGGGTTATGCAGCTCACCTCTCCATGCTTCAGTTTGGACATAGAGCCAGACCCAAGAAATCCCCATCTGTTCGCATGGTCCTTAGAAAAGGATCCTTTGGTCTTTCTGCAAAGCCTGACTTTCTGTGCAAACGCACCCATCTGCGCAGGACAATGTCGGTCCAGCAGCCAGACCCACCCTGCACACCCAACCCCAAACCAGAGCGAGCCCAGAGCCAGCCAGAGTCAGATAAGGACCACAGCGGAGGAGGCTCAGGCGGAGGAGTTGGACAAAGTGCATGGGTTCGGGGCTCTATGCTTCGTGGAGACACAACCCCCTGACACCAAAACAGAGATTAGAGGATTTCAGGAGGAAATGAGAACAGAAGAAAAAATCCAGCATCGTGTCCAGGGCCAAGGTAACCTCTAATTCTTTCTAAAGATATTTAAAAAAAAAAAGACCACCTAAAACAATAACACTTGTTAATTTTCATGATTAGGAATAATTGTAAACTCAAGTGAACTCTTAAGCCGGGCTTACACTGTGCGATTTTTTGCCCTTTTTCGCGCGAGAATTTTCTGACAGGGCGATGCGTCGTGCATCGTGTAGTGTACAGGGGGTAACGAGGGGCGATCAGCCTCTCACGACTACCTCCCGATCAGGAATCATGAGATCAGGAGAAAATGAACATGTTTGATTTTGGGGCAAATCACTCAGTGAGCATGCGCAAACAAGGATTCTTCTTTTTCCATTTTTCAAATAAAATGGAATTCTCTCTGTAAAATTGACAGACTGTAGTAGCCATGTTTGCTCAGTCATGTCTTTGTCCAAATACGTTGTTGTTTTTCCTTTTAGGGTTTTCAGCACAAAATTGCACAAATTGCCAAGGTAGCGCGGTTCACTATAGTGAGCTTCATTTTCCTCTTCCACTGATTTGGTTTCTGGATAGACGAGTCAGAGCAGCTTCATCTCACTGCGGAGCTGAGTCTGACGTGGTTTTTAGACGTACAGTGTGAGCAGGTACTGTAGATCGCATCAGAGCATCGTGCCGCACATTCATCGTGAGCTGTGAACTCACACTGTAGGGGTTCGTGGTACAGTGTGAGCTGTAGCTGCGTGCAACAATTGAAAAAATCGCACAGTGTATGCCCGGCTTTAGTAAGAGCTGTTTGAGGGTCATTTTAAAATTTGCCAAAGAACTGAGCTTATATGTCAAAGAAGGTGCTCTGGTCAGATTAGACCACAATTAAGCTTATTTACATTTTTTAGAGCACTATGTGAGCTGGAAAACAAACACCCACATCCCACCTTCCCCTCTGTGATATAATGTTTTACAGTTTGTTATTTTTGGGATGTTTCTCAGCAGAGAGTGAAGCTTACAGTATCAGCATTAATGGAAATTGGATCGAGTTAAAAACAAGGTACTACTAAAGGAAAATGCAAGCCTCAGAAACAGCAAAACTGTAACAAATGTAGGCCTGCCAGCAGAACAACAGTCCTACACTAGACGTAAAAGCGACAAAGGAATGATTTAAATCAAGGCATATCCATGTGTCAGAGTGACCTATTTAAAGTCCAGATCTACGGTAAATCTGACAATCTGAATTATGACTTGAGTTTTCAGCTTTTCAATTATGTTTAATATTTGAAATGCGGGTAACATTTTTCTGTTGCTTAAAATGTATGCACTATGCTGTCCTGGTTTATAATAAAAATAATGAAACACAAACATTAAGGGGTGTACAAGGTATTGCAGATGATAACTTACCTAAAAACATTATTATGTGAATTTAGAATAAAATTACCAAACCCTTCTTTTGTTTTTCATCATATAATCTGATATGCTTTTGAGAACCACAGTACCGCTGAATCTCTGACGTGAACTCAGATTGATTTTGCTCACTAGGGCTCAGTTCCAGCAAAGTCAATAAATGTCTGTATTGATTAAATTATATTCTGTGCGCCGTCAGACATGCTACGATGAGAGAAATCTCATTATTTTTATATATTTAGACAACTGTATGAACACATGTGGGGAAAGGAAATCAGCCCTTGACGATAACAGGAGCCCAGCAAGAAAGCCGGCACAATTAAAGTTTTTTCCCCCCTACAACTTTATTATTCCTGTGGCAACCTGAGGAACAAATGCTATTATTAGCACCAGTTCCCAAGCAGAAAGCAAATGCTAATTAGGCCATGATAATACATATGCAGGTACAACTGTGACATCTCTTAAATGGCTTTAAATCAAGTTGTTTATAGACTAGATAAATGTGCATATGCCAACGTGCAACAACATACGTAATCCCCTTATACAAATAGATAAAAGAAATAGGTTATAAACTGATTTAGCTAGTCAAGTTGTAATTGACGGCCTATTAAAGAAAAAAATAAACCAATATTTGACAAAGTCTGAGAACTGCACCAAGAGGAGCTCTTCACGTGTCCTTTCCATATCATGTTCCATTCTCACCAAGGATTGTACACTTGTATAACTTAGAAATACACATAAAACACTTAGAGATATATGTGCATAAAGGAAGCATACAATACTTTCAGTTTATCTGAAAGTAGTTTGTCTTCAGATCTTTTTTTTTTTTAGAAGAATGAGTCAGAATCCCAGTTTCTACAGTCTGGAAAGTTCTTAAAGCAATATTTTCCCATGTAATCCCACTTTATCAAAACAAGTTTATGGACTAATTTCTTTCTGTGTCAATTACATACTTTGTTATCAACATGTTGACATTTAGGTTTAGCATGAGTTGGCTTATTTGAAATGTAGGGAGAGAAAAATGTCCACTTATAAAATGCTTTTTTGTCTTGTATCTAGTCAAACATTTAGATATAAAAACTATGTTAATGCATTATTATTTTTAAATTCTTAAACTATTTCCTGTTCTTATTTTTCAGTGTCTCCTGTAACCATATGTGTACTTTGCATTGGACTTTGCTGGCAACCCATTGAGCTCAGCTTTACCTCCTGCTTGGCCCTCTACACTTTTCCATCTGATTAACTTTTTGGTGAAATGCACGGTAGCAACATTCAGTCTCCTGAATTTTAAACAGGTGCAATGGATGGAAATATACAAACATACAAGCCTATATGTCGTCTAAATGTAAAATCCGACCAATGTGGTTATGACTATGAATTTACTCCCATGTTGTATTTATGCACATGCTCCCGAGCGTTAAAAATGGGAGGAAAGTTATGATTCTGCTGTAGGCACAAGAGGAGACTATCAAATGCTGCACGATATTTTATGTTCAGACAAACGTTGTGAAACTTAATTCTGTTGACTGACTCCTGCACTGAGCCCCTCCACCAATGTATATATCCATCCCACATCCCCCATGCTTCGGCCTCCGGACTCAGCAGTTTGACATTTTCGGTTAATCTCTACATGAGTTCTGCATCCTGCAGCATTTATGCATCCAACCTCTGCCTACATTTTTCTCCTGCTGTTTGATGTTTCTACAAGTTGTGGGCGGTTTACCACTTTAGCTTCACCTCCAGCTTCCCTTCTACTTCAACCAGTATGGGAGAACATGCATTGTGACAGGCACTACAGTGCTGGTCTTCAGTCGTCAAAGAGAAGTGGCACGCACAGCTCAGCTCCAGAAGTCACTGTTTTGCACTTAACGGGTGTTTGGTGTACAGTCACAGCTTGTTGGTTGAAAAATTTAAAGTTACAAGTAAAAATAAACTTGGTGTTCAACCTAAAAATGTTTACAGATTGTCAAATGGTCATGGTTAGTTAAGAGAACATCTCCTATGACTGTAATTATCTTTATTAGCAGCTTTAGTTCATTTATTTTTTGATGCTGTAGCTCGTAACACCGCAGAATCAATGCCAGTAAGAAATCCAATAGGATGCACTTGTATCTATTTTTTTTAAAGCTGCACTAAAACTCAAATATATATGCTGAAATTTCACATTCTTGTGCACTTGAAGTTTCGTGTGGTTATGATTGAAAAACAGTGGAAGTTGAGCATATTTTTCTATTGGAAAATACTGTAAATAGAAATATTTTCAATGTATGTTTTTTAATTTGTTGGTTTCACTGATTAATTTTAGCCTTAAATTGTTCACTTATGTTGTGCAGCATTCATTTCTACCATTAATTATGACTTTAAGTGCATTAATGTGGATATTTAACAAGTTTTAGATACTCAAGTGGAGTGTGTGAGCTTGTAAGTGAGATTGTTGGTGCTTGTTATGTCATTGAGTATTCAGAGAACATAGATGTCTCTGCAGAGGAACGGGAGGACACCTTAGGGCCAGTGATGATTTATCTTCATGTTCTTTCTGCAGCTGTACTGCCAGTTTTTAAGAACAGAGCATGTATTTTTGTGGCACTGGAATGAAGCAGCTGAGTAAAGAGGGATTACACAACTGAGTACTTTACACTTAGCTATGAAAGGAGAGAGGATTGAGTGGTTTATGGATGTCTCCTTTTAAATAAAATATCTGTATAGTTGAATAGTTTGTGAAATCCAGGGGGAGCTTTATCTTGAAAATCTTTCTATTCCCAAAGCCTGTATAATGTTCATCCTTTGGATTATTATCAAGTTTGTAAGACTGGTTGTAGTGCTGCCCCTGAAATAAAACCACACCTGTTATTTATGGATAAATGTAAAATATATTGTAAAAGAGCTTAAAAATATATATATCTGTTTTTGTTCTGTATTTGGAGTTCAAGTGAGAAGTTTACATGTGAAATCCCCCTTTTACTGATGAATAAAAAAAAACTTTTTGTGAGCAATGATGACACAATTTCTGTATTTTCAAAATAAGAAATGCTGTTTAAATTTAAATTAATCTGTATCACCTTAAATATGCACAGAGTTAAATATTCTAAATTACAATTTCTACTAAATCCTTATATAAACTTAAATTCTTCTGAACTTTTTCTTCGCTCTTAGCTAGATTTGCTAAATTGTTTCATTTGAATGAAATACGTTTTTTTCATTTGAGAAGTTTACATGCAATACTCTATTTTTTAAAATAATTTTGGCCCATTTCTTCCAACCTTGCTTAACTGAGTCTATAAGCTGCTTGCTCACATCTGCTCGGCCAGCAAATTATAGTTAGTGAGTTCAGGATTTGGCTACTAAACCTTCAAAGGCTCTTCTGTAAATGTATTGGCAGTATGCTTAGGGTATTGAACCCAAGCTTAAACTTATTTTCCGATATCATGCATCATTTTTTTTTCGAAATATAATTTCCACTTAATTCCATTGATTGTATTAAGCACACCATTCACTCTTTTGGTAAATCAACCCCACAACACAATGCTACCCTTTTACCTTAGAGCTGAAATGGTGTTTTTGTGCTCATAAGCTTCCCTCTTTTTCTCTTTAAATGGTTTTCTCAAGGCTCAAAGCACTACCACAACTCCAAAGTATAAGGGTAGCATCATGTTGTTTCACTACATATTAGATTTAAGTGAAGCTGATTGTTTTGTAAAAATTGAACCTCCAAAAAGAAAATTTAAAATGCTCCATTAAATGTAATATAAATGCATGTAAACTTCTGAACTATATGTATAGTTATTCTAGCAGCCAAATTAATATGTCCATGTTCGGGTATTAGGCTTCTCACAGAGATCAACTGCAGCCTATACAATAATGCAGATTTGAAATCTCATATGCTAATAAAGCATACCATTTATGGTTCTAGTGGCCTTTTACTGTTGAAAGGCATGCCGCCAACTAGATCAAAAGCAAGAAGGTGAAATGAGCTGCAGCAAAGGCTTCTGTGTTCAGATTCAAACCTGGGACCTCTGAGTTGAGGACCTAAACATGGGTCATGCTCTCTACCCCTAAATCACCGGCACACCCACTGGAAAACATTGGAACCCAAAAGAGTTACTAAATGGCAAATAAAAATCTAATGGTTTTTTGTTGTGTGACTGTTATTCAGCCTATTTTTATGTTTGTTTTACTTCTGATGAGCAACTAAAATCAAAACACAACTTAAATGAATTAATGAAAAACAGGCAACCCTTTCTAATATTGTAATCAGTGTTTGTTTGTTTATTGTTTATTGCAAAGAAGTTAGTGTTAAAATATTATCATCATAAATAGTGTTCTATTACAAGGACATTACCGTAATGTTACTTCTTGGTTTCATCTCTTTTTTTTTATTTAAAAAAAAGGTTAACACCATTGTCTTAGATGGTAGAACTACACTTAATTAAAAAAACTACCATCAAGCACATATCAGCTGAATTATATTTGGAACTTATTCACATTAACATATCATGTCTTAAAGTTATTGTGGAGGGTTTTCACAAATTTTTTAAAAGACGAGCTAATTTCTCCCTGTGCACGCTCTGTTTAAAAGTTGTTCTCCTAGCTCATACAAGCTTACTGTGCCCGAACGTCCGGCCTAAACCCCTAAATCACCAAATAGAGCAGGGACTAGTGGACTTTATAGCCAACTCAGTTATCTTAACGTTCGGACAGTTGATCACTGCTTTTTGCTCCCCATGTAACTCCTCATTCACTGCGCGGTACCTGTGTCATCTTTACTATTATTCACCGCTGTCGGGTAGCAACAGCCTATGGCGACATAGGCTGTTGCTTTTCCAAAATCAATGTCATGATTGCCACTTTTGATCAGTTTTATTTATTAATACTTTTGTCAATTTCAATTTATTTTAGTGATTTAATGAATGGGTATGTAATCTTTCAAGCACACCTGTATAAAGATTCTTTCTACACCTTTCCCACCCAAGCCGTTGATCTCTGCAGATCCTCCAGAGGTACCAGAGGCCTCATCGTCTCTGCTTGTCTGGCCTGTTGGTAACTAGACAGATATCAAAGGTTAGGAGAACTGGTTAGTCGCCTATTGAACAGAGCACACACTGCAACAGCCAAAGAATAAAACTCTAAATCATATTTGTGACATGGAAAAAAAAAATATTACTTGGTATTATTTATCAGCTGTTTGTTTTTGCTTTTACTGCAATGTGAAAAACTGCTTTAAAAAGTGCTGCACATAAGAGACCTTAAGACGTGACCAAACACTAGTGAGATTGAGACAAGTTTGCTGAGTCGTGACGAACTGCAAAATCCTCAAAGCTGCTCTGATCTGATTCAACAGAAGAAAAGAGAAGAAACAAACTTAGTCCCTGATTACACACACTCCTTCTGCCAACCCATGCATATAACACACATCTCATATCACTGATAATGGGCTGTTGCTGTGCTGCACACCACCGCATACAGGCTTTCAGACCGCCACAGCAACACTGTCAGTTTAGGATCAACCACAGGTTAGGGAAGACAGGGAGCTAAAACAAAAAGCCGTTATCAAAACAATAGGTACAGTCATTTATGTGAATAAACAGAGTCAAATTCATACTACATTTTTTTATACATAATTTAAGATATCAGGAAAAATTCTATGATTAGTTTCAACATCAAAGATCCAGAGTGTAATAATTTCAGGGATGTACTGACAGTATGTGTCATGATTTTTGTCCTGCCCTCTTTATGTTCACTCTACCTCTCCTGATCAGCACTGATTGTTCCCACCTGGGCAGCTCTCTACTTACCGGTAAGCTCCTGCTCTTCCCCTGCTCTGTGTGAGATCGTCTGCCTTTCACAGCTTTCAAGCCCTGCTTCATGAGCCAAGAATTTCCCTACCTGTCTCTGACCACTGCCAAAGTCCTGACCATACTGTACCTTTGAGTGAGTTCTAACCTTTCTGATTTATGGTGAACCCTGCAAAACTCTGACTCTGATTAAGCTCCCTGGATTTTTGAAACCCCTCTGCCTGAGTGATCTTTTGTGCATGACCCTGGACTGAAAAGGATTTCAAACTGGATTGTGGATGTCTGTACCTCTGCTCTGTTTAACCCCCACTCCCCAAGCCCTCAAGGTTCCCTATCACTAATTGAACCAAGCCCTGCTGGACCTGAACCTGGTCATTCTTGTTTGTTTTTATATTTTTTAATCTTCCCCAACAGACTCATCTCCTTTTTGTGTTCCAGGACCACTAGAGACTCCCAGGACTGACAGAACCATTGTTTATTTTCTAATAAATCTTTTTACTCAATCTTGTGTTTGGCTGTGTGTTGGGTTCTGGCCTCTTCTGAAACCCTGACAGTATGATGTAATATACGTATCTATGTTATTTACTATCATATGCGCTGAAACTCTAAATTTTTAGGTTTGTGTTGCTTTAGAGATCAGTATAATCACATAGTGGGTCTCTCTTTTATGGAGGCAAACATCATTTGTGCTATGGCAGGGCAGAGCTGACAACCTAGTGACTGTAGAGATTGCCATTACAATGTGCTGAGGCAAGTTAGTACTAATAAAAAAAACTATAAAATTATCTATGTAAACTAGACTTGTACAGTACCAGTCAATTGGCAATGCCCACATTCTATCACTAAACACCTTCATTCATCGTTTGGAAATCCACATCTGTACTCCCTGCAAAACAACATAGATGCTAGCAGTGAACTAAGTTGGCAAAGAATTACAATTATAGTAATAGTCAGTGGGGCCATGACAGGTTTGTTTCCACTTTGCAGTTTACCACTATCAGCCGGATAAACCTTAGATTACTTGCAAGTTTCTTACCCATCTACTCTAGGTCCTTAATGAATGAGGTGTGGCCCCGGTAGGGCTGTGCACCTACATCCTGAGCTGTTTGTAGAGGTAATACTTCTGTCATAATGGGCTTTAAAGATCTGAACCACTCAGAACAAGGGTAAAAGTTTAACAGGTTTATTGTAAGTTTGCAAACACTGATGGAGATTGAAACTGTGGGGAAACAATGCTGGGACTGAGCGGACTGGTGAACCGGAACTGGAAACTCTGACTGGGAGATCAGTGATCGGTTCAGGGACAGTGGGAAAATTTACTGAGGCTTGAATATTGCTGGAGAGGCACTCACTTTTGGGGGGCTCTTGGTTTATCCTTGGATCCAGTTTGTGGGGTTTAATCCAAAGAAGAGGGAACTCTGAGAGTGGGCAGGCAGACATATGTTGGACCCAGAGGAGTAAAGGAGCAGACTGTCCCTTGGTTTTCCAGGAGTGGACTTGAACGGATCATGTGGAGGTTTTCCCCTTGCTCAGTGAGACTCAGTAAATCCTTCCAGGGGTAGAAGGTCCAGGCTTATCCAGTAACACAGGAAGTCTTCTTGCCGAAGAACAAAGACAAAAAACAAGTTCATACTCAGAGAAACAATGCTAAGGTTAGACTCTGCTAATCTGTTTGACTAGGGTACTCAATACTGGCAAACACTCTGGCGTCAAGGTGGTGACAGCCCGCTGCTCAAGTACTCCTCTGATAATGAACCAATGAGCTGCAGCTGTGCAGGTAGGCCGAACGAGGACAGGGCGCCGCCTGGTGGTGGAGAGAGGAAAACACAAAAAACAACCCACACAAACTGGAATCCTAACAACTTCCTGCCGGTGAGGGACTAAACCCATGCACACATGCACGTGCTGGGCACACACACAGGAACCATTTTAGGGGAGAGTTAGAGAAGTGAATGTACATTTTTATGTGGTTTGCACTTATTGTAACAGATGAGACTGGTTATTCAACTCTAATGAAAATAGAAAATACTCAAAACATGTAGTTCTACAAAAATTAACATAAAGGTCTGATTTTGCCTTACTGTCATGCTACAACAGAATGATTTGAAAAAATAAACTCATTACAAATGCCTGGACAAAAACCATAGTACCCTTGACCTATTATTTTGTGACAGAGGCTTTTGAGGCAGTCAGTGAAACCAAACTTGTT